GGTTTGAATTAAAATAGCTAATTGACTGTACAAATTCAAACCCTGTATGAAAAGAAATTTTTTTTAACAAACTATCCATTCATTTTTTAAGAAATCACTTTGTGTTATTGGGTTTGAAAATAGGTGTACTTGATTAGTTACTGTAGTCAAACGTCAATGTTTGACTTGTTACAATAAGGACCTTCCTGTAAGCATTTCCATCCACTATTGGGAAAGTAAAATTTGCACTACAGGCTATGCGGACAAGGACAGAACGGGACGTCTGTGATAAATGATGCTCAAATTGAGGTAATCCATGCAACGGATGCGATTACTTAAGAAGGTCTTTAAGAAAATACAATGTTTAGCTTTTTTACGTACTTTCTGGTGATGTAAGAAACATTAGAAATAAACCCAATTAAACTATTGAGAAAATAACGCATTTTTTAGGTTATCCAAAATGGCCAAGAAAACTTGCAATAAATGTTCAAAGAGTCAAAATGGGAAAACCCAATTTTACCCCATAAAGCTAAATACTACATCGTCTGGTCATCGTAGTTAGCGAACTTGTTTGATTAAACAAATAGTTTATCAGTTTGTACCAAATTGCATAAAAACTAGATACGTTTAAATCAAGTATACACAATGACACGCACTCGAACATATAATATACATATATACAGCGTGCGGTAAAAAACCGTTCTATTTGCTGCAGCGCACTGAAGCGACAGGTCGTCTGAGAGAGGTGGGGTGTGGCTCGTTGGAAAACCTCCACACTGCCATTATTATTTGTAGTCATAGAACAGTGGTCACCTGAGTTACGCGCGTCTGTTATCTAGTCGTATTTAAAAAAAAAGTTATGATTCAGTCATGCAGCTCAGTGGCAGTTCCGTGCAATCCGTGGGAAATTAGGGCGACATGGATTCCGTCAAGTAGCATAATCATGCGATGGGTTACTAACTTTAGAACAACGGCTTCTGCGGTCAAAAAGAAACTGACAAGCCTTCCAAAGTCGGATCAGACGCCAGACAACTAACATTCGATAGAGTTCATGCTGCTGTGGAAAACAGTCTTCGTAGGCCCACCCGAAAACAAGCGTCTTCTTTTAAACATGCCCGACCACTAGGTTACACTTTTTGAGATTAGATCTTATCTACTGAAGATCACAATTCCTTTATTATCAGTATATATTTCTAATTTTTAAATTTAAACATGATTAGTTATTGTTAATTAACTGTGTGTGTAAAATTTACTACTATGTTTATAAATAGAAGTAACACACCAAGTCAAGGAAACTAGTCAATGAACACATATTAAAAGGATAATGGTGTGACAATCAATATAAATATCACTAAAATGTAATTAAAAATAAAGTGAATAATGGCAAACTATACTATCATGGATTGTGAACTGATTCTGAATACCGATTATTTCAGTGTGATTGAGGAACTACTTCCAATAATCCAGTACTCTTGGTATAAACCCACAATGTAAAACGTATTAATTTCGTTTTGTCAAAATTTTCAATTTTTTTTTTTTTTTACCTAATTGAAATAAACGGTGGTTTTCAACGCCGTGTCATATTGAAAATTGTTGTTATTTAATTATCTAGACTGTATATAGCTATTTCATATAAAAAAATAAGAAAAATTTCTGTATTTGAAGCTGAATATGAAAAACATACTGAAACTATTTTAGTTAAATAAATAAACCAATACAAAATACATATAAAAACTATTACTAGCTTTTTCCACGGGTAAAATCGGGGTCACCACGTTAATTCTTGAAAATTATCACAATGATATTCACCATTATTTTCCTCTTATGCATTCACCGTCACGTGTCCGTATCCAGATTTAGTATAAAGTGACAGTATAAGTAAAACATGTTAAGCAATCGAAAGCTACTTTAAACATACAATATAAGTTTTATATATTACAAAACTACATACATTGAAACATAAACTATGGAAAACAAGTTGTGAAAAACACATTTGACGGAAAGTCAATAACCCTGACTGAAAATAACAAAAGAACTTTGAAGAATGGTAAGAATTAACAAGGGGCTCGAGAAAGAGCAAACTTTCTACATTTTCAAGTTGAAACTTTAGAAAGGAAGGGGCCGTTTAGTCTGAGAAGGAAGCCTGTGCATTTTGTCTTAGGGTGTAAATTACTGTAGTGGAAGGGGAGGGTAAAGGGGATGAGGAAAGGAGAATCCTGCTTTCCAACTTAGCTTGGATACTTGTTGAGTTTCCCCACTTGGAATGCATTCATCATCTGTTTACCTACCTGATTTTGATTATCATGAATGAAAGTTACAAATTTAACTTTGAGCAAACTATTTGATCTTTTTTAGGAAGCTTTATTTGATTTCTCGTTCACATTAGTACGACTTTCAGTGATTATTTTGTAGAAAATTATAGATGAAAATAAGGGGCTGATAAACGATGTGGACAAATGATGAAACAGGTATCACGTAATTCATGTAAATAAAAAATCTTAAATATAATTGTCGCTATATTTAACATAGACGTAGGTTAAGTTTTTGAATATTACTAATATACATATAATTACACAATACCTTTTTTGTGACCGTTAACTCTCTATGTGTTATTTTGTTATTCCTTTGTCATATAGAATGTTAGTTATGGTAATTTAAATTTTGATTTGTTGTTGAATTTTTATTTACACTACGGTAAGGATTACAATATTAATTTCGATTGGTGCAGTCGTAGTTTTTGCGAAATCATGCGTATCTATATCATATTGTCAGTTATTCTTTGTATAAATATTTTAACTTAAGAAACTATCACAAAAAACAAGTTTTGTATAGTTTGAGGTTTGATATGCATTAATAATAAATACTGCGATCTTCTCTTATACGTCCAGGCACAGTTCTGTTAAATTACTATTCGATTGGGGGAATAATGAGTAATAATAGTGAGTAATGAGGCGGGAGTCTAATAATACAATGAACTGGTATAATAAAGTAACTATAAGAAAATATTGTTTGGAAAAGAATAGGGTTTTTTTTTCTTTTGTTGCATATCATTTTGTTTACATGTTTCATTTTTACTAAGATGTAAAAAGAAAATGAACTTAAAAAGTATTTCAGTGATATAAGTAAAACTGTTATGCAACTTTTTGTCCCAGTAAAAAGTTATTTTAGTAAAATAAATAAGTTGGAAAATATTCTTCTACTGTATACATCTGATGTGCAAGGAAAACTGTTAAAATCTTTGATTGGATGTTGATCACTCAAAAATGATATCGATACACAGTCAAATATACTGCAGTCTAAGATTACAGCTCATTAAGATTAAATCAAATGAAAATCTTATTTTTTCACTGAGTATTTTTTTAATATTCATGAATAAAGTAAATATCAGTATATAGGATATACTTTACTAAAACAAATATTAGTATAAAATTTATTCCATAATACCGAAATGTTTAGATCTGATATGTGAGGTAATTCGAGCAGAAATGCTTGACATGATGAATTTATAACCATGCGAAAATTTGATTAGGGATGAAAGTTTGAATTAAAACCGTCATCGTGATTTACGGCGGGTATTGTACGCCCCACTGTGCTGAAAAACCGCGGGAAAATTGCGATCACACTGCTGCACCTTTTCGCCTTACGCTGGGTATTTTAAGTATTTAAAATATATAAATATATACTTTTAATGTATATATTCATCGTTTCAATCTTTTTATAATTAGTCACGCTAAAATCTAATTTTGCATTGACAAATTTTATCCCTCATCATATGTACTATTTATTCATATTTTTAAACCTAATACTTTCTAATAGGTACTAAAGCAACTTTAGTTTCAGACTATGCATTCCATAAAACACATGGTAGTACATTGTCAACGCGTGTTTGACATGGTACTTTTTTATTTGTTAACCGGTAGTTTTGGTATTTTTTCCAAAACATTTGTTTCTGTAAACTTACTCCTAATAGAATTAATTATTATAGTCTTATAAGTATTATATGTACATTTTTTATTTTTTTTTATTAACCGTTACAAAGGTATCTAGAATGAGTTTCTAATAAGAGTAGTATTTGTAAAATATTGCATATTTATTACACTTTTTAATCAGTATTCAGATTTTGTAAACGATTTTGTGTATTACATCTTTGATTACGAGTAAACATAATTATTATTTACTACTAGCCAGTAACTAAATACTTACAAACATTGAATAACTAGTGAATAGTAAAATCCAATAATTGGTAGATAAAATGTTATAATGGTTTTATAGAGTTTTTTATAATATTAACTGTATTAAAATATAACAATTATACGTACAAGGTTTTAGACGGGTCATACATTTGAGCATTTTAAGGGTTATGATTTATTTAATGCATTTCTGATATGAATATTGGAATAAATTTTAAGTTTCCAAATCTAGTTACGAATTAAAATATAGCCAAATTTTGCAAACATTTTACAATAGTTAAACATTAGTTCAAAGTAACACTAGTTTTATAAAACGTAATTAGAGTCTCCTTGATCGTTGAACGTAGCCACTGAACTAGATTTAATTGTCCAGAAGATATTTAACACCATATTTAGTTTTTTCAGCTTTTTATATCGACTGAATGACCAAACTTCGTATATTTAGCTTTATAGTAAGAGCTTATTGGGTTTCTTTTTAATTTTTGGATTACTGCTGATACTATTTTGGCATTGCAAAAACTTACAATCCAAACATTTAATGTTTCTGTGCAAGTCTGTGATTTCACATTCAGAGATGAATCGGATGATATCAACAGGTGCAACGTTCATGTCATCGATCACGACTAGTGATAACATAGATGAGATCTTTGGTAATACAACTGATAAAGATAAGATATAAAATTAAATAAGTCTTTTACTGGCCAAACGAGTAGTAGGAAAAATTTAACATCTGGTACAGGCCACACCCACCGCAATACGCACTTTTCTTAAAGTAGCCAATATTTAACTGTTGCTATATTCTTGAATATTCATTGAGGTACTGTAATTTACCTGAAAGGCAGGTTTGTTGTATCCATCTGGCCTGTTGACTGGGTCCCTCTCGAGAAAGACACAAGCAGTATGTTCCGTGGAAGAATAGTAATATTTGACTTCCCCGTGGGAAAGGAACACGGGAATTGACGTCACCAAAATAACAATCCATGTAACACCGATGGCTAAAATAGCGTTATGTTCAGTCCTAACAGACATGGAAGCGATGGGGTGCACGACAGCTAGGAAACGGTCCAAACTCATCAACACCAAGGTGTACACACTCGCGTAGGCCGTCACCACGATCAGATACTGGACCATCTTGCACCAGGTGTCTCCGAAGGGCCAGAAGGGAAGGATGTAGTCCGTAGCGGTGAAGGGAACACAGAAAACAATAAAACATAGATCGGCCACAGCGAGATTTATAATCAACAAATTCGTGGTGCTTCGCATCTGCTGGTTGAACGCCACAACGATGACGACCAACGCGTTCCCGAATAGCCCGAGGATGATGATGATGCCGAACAAAATCGGCACCACGATGCTGACGATTTGTTCCATAACTCGAAGCTCTGGTTCCATGTCATCTGGAATCAGTCCGGAGGAATTACGCTGGCAGAACGACGCGAATATATCGCTGAAGTTTCCGGACTGGTTGACACACTGGGTGTACCCGACCGCCTCGCCTACCCCTGGCGAGTCGTCCATGTGGCTATGAGGAGATTCTCATACCGACTGACGAGCGGGAGCGACAGAGGAGAGCGACGGTGGCGCTCGGAGATCAGAGGAACCACCATCGATCGCTCCCACACGCCACGGGAACGTGCGATTCAATAGGAATGAGTAGGGAGATGTCATTTGAGCTTATTAAACTGTAATTAATGTTACAATATAGTTTATATTACATACGGCTTGTTATGGTATAAAAAATTTAAAAATTTTGAGACATTTTGAGATTATACAGAAAAAAAGAAAAAACTAAACGTAATATTTTTATTTCGGGTTAAATTATAATATTTTCAAATAAAATATCTGATAGGGTACTTTATTACTATAAATTGTATACAAGTAATGTTAACATATGTATTATTTTCAGGAAAAATACGATTGTATTGCATTTTTATCTTTATTGTTTTTACATTTTAATAATTTAATTGAATCATTGCAAAGAATCATTATTGACTTCAAATAAAGTAGATCTTCTAATATCTTTTACAGTATATTTGGTCCATTTATGAGAACCAGACGTATCCAGCGTCTTGCTCCAGAATGATATAGACAAGTGAATGTTTCATAGAAATACATATTTGAAGGCTTTTTTGCTGAAAACATTATATACAGAAATTTTGTGAGTAAAGAATAGAACACATTTGACAGCACTTATTTATGGTAGTTTGGATTTGTTTCAATCTAACACCTTAACATATACGTCTCATCAATAAAAATATATTTCAAGTCAAGACATGTCTTTAGACTTTGTATATTGACCATTGTATATTATTTTTTTAGTAGGCCTACTTGTATTTAAATTAGAACGCCGTCACTGAAACATTTTACCTCTATTTTAGGGATGTGTGCTTCCTAGTAGTGAAACAAGATGAATTTTCCTGTTTTAAGCGAAAATACGGAGTTAATTAATTCTACGAAGTTTGTAAATTGGTTTCTATGAAAGTATTAATTACTGCAAATTCATTTTTTGAATAAGAAATATTTGAGAATTCAGTTACTGTACCAATTTCATGTTTTACAAGTCATTGATTACCTCAAAGTAATTGAATATTTTTTCCCTGTGTACATTAAACGACACCTGCAGTATTCTGATATTTATGTATATATATATATATATATATATATATTCATACAGAAACTTAAAATCAAAACAAATTCCTTTTTCAAACACGAGTTGCTAATGTAGGCGAAACACGGGAAATAAGTCATCTAAGGTCATCGAAAAGTTCAGTGTCAGTATAAAAAATAGAAAAGAAAAGAAAAAGAAGTCAATCAAATTACTGAAAGAGACACAAAAGTCTCATCTGAAATATTCTAAAATCAAATATATAAAGAAATAAACAACGCCACTTGACTTTGACAAGGTTGATTGATCAAAGGACATTCGATGATATCTACGAGCAATTGGTTTTCACGCAAGGATGACCCCTTTATGTGTTGCTTCTATTGTATGAGTTATGACTTAATAGGCTGCCATTTGAATAATCAATTATTGATTTACAGCCTTGAACTGTATATGTCTTAATCAGTTTATGTCTTCCAAACTAATGATTATGAAAAGTAATTACTTAATTCATGATTAATGAAAAAATTGCATGTCTATAGATATAAGTTTTTTAAACTCCATATTGCTAACAGTGGTTGAACAGTTGTTATATAAAATTATAAACAAGGGGGTTTATAAAAGCTGATGAAATATTTGTATTTTATATTTTCTATGTTTTCAACAATTTGGTGCTATAGAGAGCAGAAAGTTATATTATCATGTTTGAGATAATATTTACTTTGCCAATAATTAAAACTTACACCTCAGACTAAATAATTGGGGAATGAGGCAAGGGAAATTGTGTAAAAATTAGAGAAACCAGCTTTTATTCTATAAAATCCTATTCCCATAGTCGGATAATGCTGGTTCACAAATGTATTCATACATATGTAGATTTACACGTTTGTACAAAATTTCATGGAAATCGTATAGTTTTTGTGCAAAAGAACAAGTACTTATGAATAACTTCTTGACCAGCACTGTACGTGTTATTAAATTTACGGAAAGTAAATAAAAGAAACGTTTATAACACTTAAAACATATTTATGCTTATACTGTTACTCACAATACGGTAAATATACATAAAAGGTGGTAAGTAGTCTTGTGAGTAACAGTATAAGCGTAAATATATGTTTTAAGTGTTATAAGACGTTTCTTTTATTTACTTTTATATACGTTCATTTGAGGACATTGTGCTTTTGACCTCTCGCAACCTCAAAGTGAAAAGTAAATTTGTCCTAGGTTTTACCATGAGACTTATTGTAATAGATTAATAGCTAACAGCCAAAGAAAAAGAAAGGTGAAAGGTTAAGCCGACCAGGAAAGCTGTTTTTCATTACTATAAGCTAATAGAAAATACACTGCCCACAAAACCACCACTATAAATATGAAACCCTAACTGCAAAGTATAAATTAATAAGATTTCCTTCTCTAGTATTGCTCTTTAAAAGTAATATCAATTTCTTATATTTCCTTTCGATGCTATCACCGACAAGTAAACCGTTGATTATATCATCCTAGAGCTTTTGTATAATATTCTAGTATTTATAAATGCACAGGTTAATGTGGTTTTATATATTTGTATATTTAATTGAATTCCCTACCTATAATGATTATAGAACTGTTTTCTATGTGTTTATATATAAACGCATAATAATAAATATAAAACGCATAACCAACATCTGTTGACCAATTTGCTACTGTACTGTAGTTTATTTGTTACAAGTATATGTTACAACCCATTTGTTTAAATTTTCTTAAAACTTTCATAGCTACTTGATAGTCCATAAGTCTAATGTTAAAAATATTAAAATTTCATTTCAACACCAATTTTGACAACGTTGAGAAATTTAAATATAACTATTGTGTTTTCAAATAAAATTCTAAATTCAAATATGGCATGATAATTTGATGTTATTGTTTGAAATACAACGGTGTTATAACAAATAAGGTAGATTGGATGATATAAATGAAATTTATAATAAATATTTTAAATTATGAAGTCATTTACTATCACCATTATTTAAACAAACAGGTTAATACCATTAATGATACAAGTTATTAGTTTGGTAGTCTATAAAATATTAACTACAACTTTGATTGTAAAAACTTTTAAAACCTGCGATGTATAAAGTTGAAGTATTTCCCTGCGGTACTTCAGATCGTCATTAGCACTTTTCAATGAACCGGAACCTGATAGTGATTGGCACTTACCTTCTAGAATAGCATTATTCTCTCACTTCAAAACTTTCTCTTTACAAAAATATCTACCAAAATATTAAATATTGTTATTTAAGATAGCACATACACATTTTATAAATAATACACAATAAGATACCATAAAGCTCACAAAATTTACCAAATTTACATTAATTACCAAGCGACTGAGCTAAGGGGTCTCATGGACTGAGGTGCCGGTCGTTGCTGGTTCGAACCAAAAAGAACAGAATAAATATTAATTAATTAATTAATTAATTAATTTATTTATTTATTTATTTATTTATTTATTTATTTATTTATTTATTTATTTATTTATTTATTTATTTATTTATTTATTTATTTATTTATTTATTTATTTATTTATTTATTTATTTATTTATTTATTTATTTATTTATTTATTTATTTATTTATTTATTTATTTATTTATTTATTTATTACACACGATCACCATATTATATTCTGATGAAACAAAGCCAGTAATACTGTTTAAAATTAGTTTGTGTAATATTTTTTTACCAATACAATAATGTATTATCATGTTTAATCATGCAGCTGCTAGATTATGCTTCTGGTTAAGACATAAGAAACACGATTTAAGTATAAACTTAAAATTTAGGACATTGCAGCATGTTAATACGTCAGTTGAATATTTCTGTTAGTTATTATTGGTTGTGTAAAAACATCCTGTTTACCCTCACTTCTACGAGTTTTTCTCACTTCTTAAAATAAAAATAAATAAATAAAAAGTAAGCATAAAAAGTATTTACTAGCTAACACAAACAAGTATCGTAGTATTGTTTCTTATATCGATGGAAATTAATAACAAATGTTTAATTTAGTTGCAACTATCTTCTTAGATGTTTAAAAACGTCATGTATGACTATTAGTAGGATAAGTTCTTCAACCTACTTGAGAGACATATCATATTTTTTTGGAAACCAGATGAAGTTGCAACTTAGGGTAGATTTTGAACAACTAAGTAAGATGCAGTAGGTAGTTAGTGGAAATCCACCAACCAACCGATTGACTCAGCACCATAAAAAACCAGTTGAAGTGTGTATACATACAAGTATATTTTGACATAAGAACATAATCAAGGCGTGGGCAGTTTTGTGCAAAATTAGATTTTTTATTAATAGTTATATTACTTTTATTTATAAAAATAACCCATTTTTAAAAACTAAACTTAAGACTTAATCGATGACATTTTTTTATGATATATTAAATCCTATTTGAGTTTTCAAACAAATCTTTGCACATTGACGCCAGCTAGTAACAAAAACTACAATCCTAAACCGCATCAGGTTTACCAAAAACCCACACAAACCAAACATCCCACAAAGATTTCCTTTTGTTGGCATTTTGTTTGAGTGGATACACCACATGTTCAGTGGTGTGTGGGGAACACGATTTCTGTCTGATCAATGTTATATGTGTATTTATTATTTTGGAATCCTTTGCGATATGCACACTACTTTTTTGGAAAAGCCTTAAACTTAAAAGATTTAATGAATCCAAAAGGAAAGCCTGTATATCATTTGCATTTTTATTCTAAGGTTTCCCATCTATAATTTTTGAACTCTCGATAATAACGATAATAATAATTTCCATTTTATCAGAGCCATAACAAAGTCAATATTCAATAGCACTTTGATTTTTTTAATTTTCGGTTGTCACACACGTTGGTAGGGCCTACAGATAAAAACAATATGGTTTTCTTCCAAAATA